TTTTTTAAATAAAAGTGTAGAATTGCAAAATCAGAACATGTCCAGCAGGCCGTGAATGCATTTCAGGAGAGCAGCTTCATTTGCCCATTGCTTTTATGATTCGCACCACTGCTTGCTGAAGTTGGTTTGGTGATGTGTTACTATTTATCTACGTGATGCTGTTGCCCAGAGGCTCCAGAGGATGCTGTAGTAAAACCATGGTAAAATTCTCACTTCAAACAACTTGCACCATAAAAAAGAGAAAAGAAATGGAGAAGAAGCATAATTGGAAGTACAATTTGGGTTTTGCAAATGTGAATTGTTTTATCACTACCCATGTTGCTTCTTTATTTTATTGTACTTCCATTTGTCTACCAACTACTACTTCATCCACCAGTTTGTTGACAAAAGTTTTGTTAAAAATGGGTCTTTGCCCCACTTGGTGTTAGAGCCATTTTAGGTTTTCACATAGGTTTCATGTAGTTGTCACATAATGTAAAATCAGGCTGGTCAGCAGGGTATTCAGGGCAACTGACAAAAATGCATGCTAGTATGTAAAGTAATAGATATACAAAATTTATTCTGATAGTCCATGTATTTCTTAAAAGATACCTCACAATCTTTTTTTACCAGTCCTACAAAGAGATAAGATCTGTTTATTCATCTGTACCTCCTGGGACAAGCTGCCTAAAAGATTATAGCATATCAGTTTGCTTATTTGTAGATAATATATTTAAATCCACTTGAGCATGGAACTAAAACAAATCTATCCCTGCATAACATGCATGCTGGGTTTTTGAGGAAAGTGGTTCATGGAAGAAGGCACAAACACAGAATTACATGGATAGGGTGACTATATTATGGATATGTAAAAAGGAAGGTCAGATTTCACGCCTGCCCATTTTGATGATGTTATTGTCATGTTAGGAATTCTGAGTCAATCTTGGAACACTTTCCAGGACCCAGGATACATGGAAGCAACAAAGAGTAATGGAGCAATTTGCCACCCTTCAGTGCTACCATTTTTCAGCTGCAGCAGTTTTCTGAGAGGCCTCCTGTTTGAGTATGGCATTGCAATAATAATTACCTAGCCACATTAGCATAACATCTGTTGCAAGAACACAGTCTGCAGAACCTTTCCTTGCTTTGCTGAGTTCCTTATTTGGCATCTTAGTCTCATAGTTTGTGAGGGTAATGTCTTCAGCAATTGCTCTAACAGAGTATTTTCATTTGTGTTTCTGTGACCTTATCTTTGCTGGTCATAACAAGAAGTTATTTTTTTAGTGGATGGTATTCTCCTTTTCAACACCAGGCAGCCCTGTTCACAGGAAGATAAGAGCTAGGGGCTAAATCTGTCATATGTCCTCAAATAGTGACATTAAGCTAAATCCTATTATAAAAATAAGCTAGAAAAATCTTTACTTGAAAAGGGGTAATAAATGGGTAGATCATACTTTTCTGTTTCAAACCTGGAATAGGTGCTTCTGAGTAAAGAGCATTTATTAGAAAAGACAGTGTCTTCCCTTTAGGTAACATTTACCATTCCAAAATTATCACCTCTACACAATCAGGACTACTGAAGTAGACATCCCTCAATATTCTCCTTTTGTATTCTTTACTCTTTTGCACTTACACATGGAAGATTACAATCAAGCTGTAAAATGGCTTGCATTTTCCACAGCTGTATCAAGTAGGATTGGTTTCTGTTGTGTGTGGAGTGGTGTAGACAGGAGCTCTCTACATCGAGGCACCATTTGTGGTCCTTGTTGATCCACAGCTCACTGTTGGTTAATCCAAGGCCTCCAGGGCACAGGTAGCCTGCTACCTCATTTGTGTTTATTTTGCCTTTTCACCACAAATGCCACTATTATTTCCCCCATCCGGGAGAGGGGAGGGCATGATGAGAGCAGCTGCTAACTGGTGTGGTTATTTTGGTGGAGAGGAAGCCATTTGAAAGTATGATACCCAGTGCCATATGTAAATCAGTGGCTCTCTGGCTCTTCAGCTGAGGATCAGATCCGGCAGCAGCAGTGTGTGAGAGAGGTAGCCTGCTTAGGGCTACCTGCACATAAGGCAGAAAAAGAGCTGGCATTACTGATGAGTTATAGTTTTGTCATTTTGACTGTTTGTATGCATACAACATTCAGAAATAAAATGCTTTCTGGAGCAGTCATTTATTCTATACCCACCATCACCCCTGCTCATACAGCAGATAGGATGATATCTTACCCTTTAAACCTATGAGAATCCTTATCTCTGCCTCTTAGTCATGACCAACACATGTCCCTCAGAAGTACTTTCCATAACATCTCTCAGATCAGAATGACATTATGACATGATGTGATTTAGTTAAGTTTATTTTTTTTTTATTTTCATTCAAGAGGCAAAAAAAAAAAAAAAAAAAAAGGAGGGAAGTTAATAGCAAGGATTCAGGGCTGTAAGGAACTGTATCCTGATGCACCAAAAATTTTAAGCACATCATTAGTCCCAAAAGTTGACTGACTTTTGTGTAGAGTTAACATATTTGGTTAAGCCAGTACACTCAAATCAACTCTCATATAAGCAATATTTCTCCATTCTTTGTCAACCATGAGCAAGTGTTTTACAAACAATTTTCTGATAACACATAATGATAGGATTTCAGGCCTTCTGTTAAGAAGTTCCTTATCCTTGCCAAAATCACAGCCTAATTAAGCAGGTGATTTTATTCTGGTCCTGTTAGGATAAGTGATGAAATGGTAAATGGAAATAATCAGATGGTAGAAAATGCAAGATTGGGAAAGAAGGAAGAAAAGGTGTTTCATTTGAAAACTTGCAGAAGGAGATAACAGGAAAGAGCTCTCACATAATGAAATGGGAAGTGAGGCAAGGGCAAAAGTCAGCAGAAGATTGGACCTAAGTCTGGGGCCTTCCTTCCTCTCCATCAGCCCCTTATTTTCTCTCATAATACCTTTATCTCTAGAAGCCCTTGTGAAACAGAGGTTTTTCTAACATTTTTCTCTTTACAGCTTTTGTGGCTCTTTTCCCTGGGTCACATTTTGCTTCAATTCCTAAAATTTAATGCCCTTTTTAGCCAGACCAAAACACACAAACAAACAAAAAACTGTGGGGAAAGACTTGTTGCAGGTGTCTGTCCCATATAAGTGCAGATTAAATGAGATGTCACTTACGCATTTACCTTACAGTTGTTGTTCAAGGGCAAAGAGCAGAAGTGTAGTCTATGCTAGTTTAAGGATGATCTCAGTTTACAGCCTGCTGCTTCAAAGATTATGGCTTAATGTATTACCAAATTGTGTCTGTCAGTCTCAGAGCACAGACAGATCTTCCTCAACAACTGGCTAACAAATCCAGAAGAATTCAAGGACAGCTGGAATCACAGTGCCTTTACTGCAGTGGAAGTCAAAGCCTATTTTTCTCATCCTTTTTCATCTTCAAAAATCATCCTTTGTGGTTTTAGAAGGTGACTGGATAATATAGCTTATTGCAACACTTTTCCTTGTTGTTAAATAAAGTTACTATTGCACAAGAACACAAATTTCTAAAAGAGTTATAAATTAGAATATAACTGAAAGGGAACATATAGGTGAGAAATAAGAAAATAAAGAGAAGTGCACTTCAGATAAACATGGCATCCAGTGCCTGAGTTTAAATGTAGTTGATAGGAGATCTTGTTGCTACAGAAATAATTTGCCTTCTATCATCATGTAGTGCACAGAGACTGAAACAACTTTTCTTGCTTATAATGCAGAATAGACTATAAATAATACATTTAAAATGCAAGGAAGAAATTATTCAACCGCAGCAACATAATAAGCTTTAGTATATTCAACAATTTTGTTAATATTAATTTTGCATTTTTTTATATATATTTGTGAACCACTACAGCTTAAATAATTGAAATATAAAAGGAAGGGTAATCTTTGGTATGTTTATCTCATTGCTGTGCATAGCTACACTATTCTTCTGGATAGCTAATGTATTCCTGTAGAACAGTACTGATGTGACTCCATTTCCAGCTTTATAAGGAACCATCCAAATTTAACAAAAACATTCCCCTAACTCTAGTGTATTTTAGTGTAAAATTTTAAAGCTATTTCCAGTCGGTTTTAATTGACATAACAGGAAAACAGTGGTTATTCTTGCAACAAAAAGCTAAGACCTGATTCTGCTAAAATGACACAAAAGAGAAATCTGCTATTGGCTTCATGGTGAGAAAAAATGGGCTTTGTAATCTGAGATTCAGGACATTTTTAGAACATTCTTCTGAGATCTAGCTTGATTTCTATTAAAGCTAATGCAGAGACCCCTGTGGCATTTTGCAGGAATTGGATCAGGCTCTCAGTGGTACAGTCTGTTCTATATATAACTTACTCACTGCCGTTGGTGTTCGTGGCAGGCAGGCTCCCAACCCGAAGGAGCTGTGAGAGGTGATGGATCTTTACAGATGTAAGGCAGCTTGAAATAATTGCCATGGCAAGGGAGAGTTGTGCGAAACATCCTGCAGCTTTGTACTGCTTTTGAGGGGCCACTCTCTGTAACTAGAATTGCACATCTCTATATATCATTTTCTGTAATAATTGCACGAGAAATTACATGCATTGGGGTGTCCTGCCATGGAAATGCTGCTTCCTGCATTTCTCTGAAGGACCTATGTCCTTCACTGCTGGGATACAATACATTGATTTAGATAAAGATGTGATGGAGAACTGAGTCAAGCGCAATGTCAAACAGTACCTAAGTGTAGTTGGATTATTTTAGTTGTAGTTTAGTCTGCATTTAAGTTTCTCCCAGCATCATTTTGTGTAGATGTCAGTATTTTGATTTCTACAATTTTTTCTCTGTTGCATCCTACATCCTTCTGTCACTTACTATGGACCATCTAAGTTTTTTAAACCCTTTACATTATTTACAGGAACATTATTACTCTACTTCCCTACATATAAGTGTTCTATGCAGTATTTCATCCAGCCAGAAAATTTCTGTTTTTTTTTTTAAAAGAGTTGAATAGAATCCAATTGGAATTCTACTAGAAAGAAATTAATTTCTTCTCATCTGGGATATCAGTGTCTTGACTTCTGTGCATTTACATGCTATTGATACTCTTTGTTTTCTTATGCTAACAGTTCTGTAAGGATGGATTAGAAACTGTTATTTCTTTTGTTTTCAGTATTTCTACATTAGTAATAGATCCAGCACCTAGAAATACCAGTGGAATTCAGTGACCTTCCATCAATAATCCATCTGGAAAAAGACAATACGATTGAGCTTTCTTACAGTTGAAAGCAATATGAATATTTTCCTAGTAATTAAAATATTTTATTGTCATTTCTTATGTTTTATAACTTCTGGTCACTTTAAAGTTGAACTTAGCTTTCGTAGCAACAAAATAAATTCTGACCTTTATTTTTATTGGTTTGTTTTTTAGCTTGAACTCTGCTTCTTTCATGGTATCTAAGCATTTGCAAATGAGTCATATTTTCCTATATCCTCAGCATAAACATGTGAATGAACACAGTAATGAACTTGAATGAGCACAGCAACGATTTAATGCAGATTGCCTTGCATTTATTCCTTACTTACATGATCATGAAGCTACACTCTCTTATAAGATACCGGTGGATGTGATGATAGTGAGTGGATGAAGGGATGGTTTGGGCTGAGCCACTGAGGAAGAAGAGCAGTGGGTTTATCAGAAATCTGACTGTTGTGGCAAAAACTGTGGAGGAAAATTAGCATTTGGGGGGCAGCTGATACTTCATGGGCTAACTTTTTTATCTACAGCAACTCATGAAGTCTTTAAAGGAATTAATGGAGAGGACTGGAAAGCAGTCATGTGAATCTTGGTGATAAGAAATGGCCAGATGTGGTCCTGATCTGCCTGATGAAAAAGGTTTGTATGAAAGAAACTTGGATCAAAAGAAAATGACTTATGCCCCCTCTACATCCATCGGAGATGGTTCTGTTTCTGGAGATCTTCCACTGTGGCCAAACTGGAAGTAGAGCCCACATGGCATGAAGATGACTGTATATATAATTTCCTTGAAAAAGTAAGCAGCATCTGCCTCAAGCTGTGATGGCCTATAAATATTGATTAACACATCTGTGTAACTGATACCAACATTCCTTTACACTGTAGTAAATATGTCCATTCTGGACAGGATTTGCTCTAATGATCTCTGCTTATAATGAACATTTTTTAGTAATTAAATTCACATTGACAGTACATGTATCATTATTCCGATGTTTAGAAATTCCTGCAGTGCAGTTATCTGGTACTGAAACATAAGTGCCCATTTACTATGCATTTAAATTTAAAGTTAGGAAATATTACAAATATTACACAAAAAACCCTATTAATAAACTTCTGTGTTACAATATTATGGTTAAGCTATCACTCATGAAATCTCAGGTTGAACTTATTATCCTGTTGATGACAGGATCACATTCTTCATTGAGGTTCAGTGGGTTTACCCAAGGCTGCTTTTTCCAGTGGTTTCTTTCCCTGCCTATCCAAACTTTCTGTGGGTTGAGGAGCTTTTTCTGCTACTCCTGCCTTTCCAGCAGTCTTCTTTGCTGCTTGCTGCTTGCTTTTTGTATCCTTTTCTGTTTCCACAGGGGGTATTTCATTTGGATCAGGTGTCTCTTCTCTAGCAGTAATTTCTTCTACGTGTGGCTTAATAAAATCTGATTTAGGAAAAGTAATAAAATTTCTGAGTAATCCTAAGTAACAATATTTACTGTGCTCAGCAACATTTCTTTCACATTGGTTATGACCTTATCATGTTCTTTTCTTCTTTCCCTGCCCATATAAAGAGATTCAGTATTACACATAGCATTACTACTTCTTATGGAACCAAAACCAAGCCCAAGTCTCTATGTCTCTAATTAAAATTATTTAGAGGTAGATACTGGAACACATTTACAGGTACAGAAATAATTGTTTCCTGCTTAAGTCACGTAATTTACAGGATTGTTTAGAAAAGTCTACCATACCAGTAAGACAAGAGAGGAAGGAAATGCTGTAAAATATTTGTTCTTGCCTTAGGAGCAAAAAGATGGGGGAGAATAAAAGTATTACATATTCTGTCAGAAATTATATAATATGTATACACCCTGTATACAAAGAAAAAATACTTAGGCAAAAATATGTAAAATAAATGTTCTGATACTGTCAGAATTTAAGACTGATTTGGAGTTAAAATGCTCTGTATGAGAGAGATGTAATTGTGAAGAATAAATCATTGTCCAAATAGCAATTCTATAGTTAGAATCTAAAAGAACAGTAAAATAAGATACAATTAATACATGGGAAGGCTGAATCACTAGAGAGCTTTTCATTTTTTACCCTTCCTCTAAATGAGACCAAAATTGGTCACTTATAACTCCAACTTTACCATTCAATATGGACATAAATCTAGGAGAGAATAATTGATTAATCTCAAGTAGCGGCTAAACAGTCAGGGTTTTCTAAAAGACTTAGGCATTTAGGGTCCCTGAATCAGTAAGGCCTTATTTTTTTGTGAAATATCAAATATCTAGCTGCTGAAATGAATCTCACTTTGGAAAATAATACCATCTGTGTATGTATCCATGCTTACAAAGTCTTTCCTCTGCATTGAGAAATTGAGAAGTATTTATTATGACTTAAAAAACTTCCATCAGCCAGGTTAGTCAAGGTGACAACTTAAAGTGGAAGTAGAAAAAGTGGTTTGAAAATATTGATTTAAGTCTCTTTCACTTAGGCCTAACCTGGTAATTCACACTTTGGATCTGTTGTTGATTAAGAGCATATGTACTGTATGCTTGATTGATTGGGACCTATAAAATATTGATTGACAAAGACAATTAACTCTGTAACAATTTAACAATTTTTTCATTAGGATAGAAGACTCTAACAGTGAAGGCACTCTTACCTTTCTTTCCCCCCTCCTTCTGTTTGTTTGCTGTCATTGCTTTTTTCTTTTTAGATACAGGTTTATTATTTTGATTGTGTCCTTGGACTGTGTCAGTCTGCCCTGACACAGGCATCACAATCACCTGAAGCAAAGCAAGAACAAAACATGCACAAGCGCGACATGTAAATGCATCACAAATTCAGCCTGAAATCACCGTAACTGAGTCCCTGGAAGCAACACCTTTTGAAGGAACTTATTACTCTAACTTTCAGGGACACATGCATCTGCCAAAGCAAAGCAAAATAGAATCCAGCCTGTTACCTGGGAGGTGATTCACTTGTATTCCCTGGCTGTTCTGCCAAAAGGAGGGAGGCGGGAGGACAGATTTTTGGAAATAAAGTAGTAGAAATAAACTGTGTTCAAAATTCAGTATTATTAAAAATAATACTGAGTAATAAATATCAGTTATTGCAAAGAGCTGGTCATATTCCTGTTTGCACTCTGGAGGATGGAAGAGCTGTGACTGTTATTTATATGTTGTATGTCATGGGACAAAGATGGAGTGACTTGTATATCATCTTTGAATTGGCTTCATGTCCTATTAAGAAAAATTATAACATAATTTTGCATAAGCCCTTTAAACTCAGGAATCATGCTCTATCTCAAATTACAGATCTTGTCATGATTATATTTTGAAATTTAAAAATTAAGCCTTGTCACTTTGTCTGTTTTACTCAGCAGCTGTGACTAGATAATCTTAACTTGTTTTGGTAACAGATATTTATTGATTAAAGGATATAATTTCACACACATTAAAAATGCAATAATATGATCAATTTTGATACTTGAGTGTGAAATATTTTATGAGATAAGGCTATGTGAACACATACACTGTTTATGTGAAACACCAAAACCACATTGTTTTTTGCATAATTTCATGTTAAAAATCCCTGTGATGTGAAATCTGTTCTGGAAGAAAAAGAGATTTATACCAGATAAACTCAATATGTTCCTTGAAACTAATGATACTATAAGTGCAGGTACGTGCACTAAAGTTAGGCATGTGCTAACATGTTTTGGTAGTTCATAAAACTGATGCAAATATGGATTATTTGTATAAGATTAGGATAATAATCATTAGCCCTTTATAGAAACTGATTTTAAACAAAAGAAATTGCTAAAATCAGCATTTTCGCCATTGGTAACTGTGTTGAATCTATTTTTACCTGAACCATTAAGAATTCCTTTTTGCTTCCACTTCAACATTAGCTGAGAGTAAACCTCACATTGCAAGGGTATAAGTGAGTGTTAACTGTACAACATTTAGTAGTGGCATCCTCACAGAAATGCACCAAAGTGCCTGGGACTGCAGCACTATTTCTGCAGTCAAAGTAGCTAGAAAAGACAAGAGAGAGTTTGTGAAAGATGCTTAGACTGAAAATATATATGTTAGTTCTTTAGATGTGGATGTGAAGAATTGTGCTGTTGTGAGACTACTAATGAAAACATTTATTGGCATGCAATGGGGCTGGCTACTGCTTCTAATCCTATTCTATACATATGTATATACATACATATGTCCAGCAGGTTCTGTTGCTTTTCCTCAGCTGGCATTGTAAAATAGCAGACGTGGAGTTATTTAATCTATGTTAAGTGCATTCAGAGTTCTGGACAAACTTTTTTCCTCTGAAATATTTTTGTGTAACACTTTTTTGTGTGTGTGTATGTGTGTGTGTTACAGTGAAGATTATTTTTGTACCTCTAAAAGATCTTTATAAAATATATTATTTCTGAATCTCCAGTGTTAAGTTTTCTATCTAACAAAACACTTATATATCACCCTTAAATCACAATTCATACCCAGGTGCATTGAAAAGCATAGGACTACTCCTGTGACAAAATTTGCAAAAATACCTTGTTGACTTAAGGTGTGAAGCAGTGAAGGTCTGGACAGAGAGGTGTCAAGAGATGCCATTGTGGTTTTGTTGCAAAGTGAAGATTAACAGGGATCTAAAGGGAAGCTGGAGATAATTACAGTGGTGAAAGCATTAAGACACTAAGACACTGTGCACAACTACATGAGCTGTGACTAATAAAACAAGACACAGTGAAACAAGCTTGTGATGGAAGGAAAGAAGTGAATTCAGTTTATTTGTGAACATAGAGCAGAGTTCATACACTTTTACAGACACACACACACACATATTATCCTGGCCTCCTAAGCCTTATTTTCATTTATGTTACAGTACTGTTAGCCTGTTTGGGCAGATTAAACAATATTTAGGGCTGTAAATGACACCCATATTAAGGCCTCACTAATTTAACACAGCAATACAAAGGGGCCTTAACACAGACAAAAACCAACACTCATTTCTCCGTGATCTAGCACATTCCATTTATGCTGCTTTACTAAAGCTGGAACAAATCCCAACTGTTGCTCAAACAGGCCCCGATCATTTTGATCTTTCCATCTACCTCATTAATTGCTTCCACTGAAACAATTCCTGACCCTTTCCTTCCAGATGCTCCAGGAAGAGGGTGAAATGGTGGGCGTGTGTTTACAGACAGTATGCACTTGGCCTTGCTTAAAATGCTATAGTTAGTTTCTGTGAAGTTAGCATTAAGAAAACGTTTAGGAAAGGCCTTTTTCCCTGGCATAAATGAGTGTATTAGAAGCAAATGTGAAGTGAATGGAAAAACCCAAGGCTGCCTGCTAAAGCAGAAAGCCATTTACACACATGGATTATATCAGCCTAACATCCAAAATCTCCTCTGTACTTCTGTCTTCTAGACTTAAATTCACGCGTTGGCTTTATCTTACTGCTTTTTCTCTTGCTCAGACTCTCTCTCCTCCTCAGGTATGTACACACTTACAGTGACGTCGCTGGTCTCTGTACCGTACTTGTTCTTCACAACAATGCTGTATTTCCCAGAGTCTTGCGTGGACACAGTAGAAATGGAAAAGCTGACATTTTTTCCAGATTCAAACTTCAGGATGCAATTGGCATCTGATACAAATGATTTTTCATTCTTCAGCCATGAGACCTCTGGGGTGGGATCTCCCCAGACAGTGCAAGAAAGATTAAGTGCCTACAGAAACATACAAAAGAATTATGAGTCAGTAAATATTTGCTGTATTTTTTGATGCCTGACTTTCCAAATATTCCAACTTCCCATTTAGCTTCCTGCTTTTAGTAAAGGGATGCATACCATCATCAGTAATCAATAATTTATGTTGCTCTTCTCTATAATAAAGGAAAAGTAGGAACTCAAGAATGCCATTAAAACCTTTCAATATTTTATGGACCTTCTTCTCTACTCTTATAATCATTAGTAGAGGTTTCTCCATGCATATTTTTTAATATAAAATTAGATATTATCTGCCTTTGTGTGTTAGACCTGAAATGAGATTTTAATGAGCTGTCAGGTGATTTCATTCACATTAAGCTCAACATACACACACACACACACGCACACACACACATATATATATATATATATATATATCCCATAAGTAAAGAAAGTGTGGCTGCTTTTTTTAGATAACTAAGAACAAAGTGGCCCTGGAATATTTTGTTTAATTTGGGATCCTTTTAAACTGTGCCCTGACAGCTTTTCTAACAGACTTGAAGTGTTTTATGCACTTCTGTAAAGCTATTTTTAACTGAAATCAAGACAGGCTTTACTCATTCTTTAGTGTTCATGTAAGTATTTCCCTTTGACATTAGTACTGTTCCTAAGGACTGAATTCAGTCCCATCAGCCTGTAGGAAGTATCTTCACTGTTAGAGAATCATCATGTTGGAGAGGTCACTGCTAACTTCTTGTACCTTCAGCAGTCTGGTGGGTCTCTTGGGCACACTTTGGACAGGCCTCCTTTTTTTCTTGTCAGCTAATTCATTTTTGGGAGATATTGATACAGGTAAGTGATCCCCTCTTCCAGTCACAGTGCTATGGCAGTCTTCTCAAAAATATTTGCAAAAATTAGTATCACATAGAGACTCAAATGTGAAAAAAGTTCACATGACAATTCAGTGGTACATAGGCCTTTCTCTGGAACTTTATTTAGGAAGGAATTTATTTATATATATGCCATTTAAAGGAGAATCTAACTGGACTGGAAATTGAAGAACTTCTACTGCAAAGAAAAAGGTCTTCAGCGCTTCATTGGGAATGGACTAAGTGATATATTTACCACTTAGTAGACAATATTTCACTTGACCGGAATCAAGTATCTCTTCCAACCTTCCCTCCAACTCACTGCTTCCTATCCAGTAGTGTGATAGTGGAATATGGGACAGAAGAGAGATGCCTGAAAGGTTGTTGAAAGGAATGGACAGAAAAATTGACACCTCTATAAAAGTAAGAGGCATTGATATCGCTGAGAACAAAATAAAAATCCCCATGTGCCCAACCTGAGGGCCAAAATGAGAGCAAAAGGGAAGGAGAAGTCTTTCTTCTATTAGCAACATGCAATTCTTGGTACCGAAGGAGGGCAGATTCCAAGTGAGAGGTGGTTACAGCATGGTGGAAATAGCATCTATCTGATTTCCTGCAGCACCTACAGCTGGTGACCACGTGGGGCTGTTGGCTCCTTTCTCTCATAGCCCACTGGTGTGAATGTGATTTCAATTGGCATATCAGTCCATCTTTTTGAAAAACAAGTGGGAAATGAGGTTTTGTGTTTCCCCCTCTTCTTTATCACTCTGGATACAAACATGTCCTCAGCCTTAGCCAGGCAATGCATATAGGGCCCTTCAGGTGCTCAGCATTTTATTATTGTCTTGTGATTCTCAGGGAAGCAAGAAGTCAGTAGCAAGTGTCTCCAGCTTCCACTCCACCACAGTGCTAATGAGCTGATGTCCATGTCCACACAGCTCCATTAGAGGCATCATTCAAAGCTGGGGTGTTTGAAGTACTGTCATATTCCATAATTCAAAGAGTTTCAAGCAGCAGTGATGAATCTTTTCTTCTTCTAAATAATTCCTTAAAATAGCTATATTTTCCTTAACCTTGCATCACTAGCTCCTGTTTGATATGAGTGATTCTCTTGATGTTCCCAACTCTTTCTATTTACTTTCCAGCTACTAATGTGCAGAGATGTGTCTTATAATTTGCTATGTAGATGGTGAGAACCTGTTTTTCTGGAAGGTAATTCCATAGCCAAGGCGAAATGATTGTTCACTGTGACTGCATCTGTTTCAGATTTCCGTTCTTTGGGCGAGAGATTGTCTTTGCTCATTTATTACTCACCGAAGCCCTTGATTATAATACTGTGTTCAACCTGATATCATTATGGTAAAAAAGTGTGCCTTGTACTCCTGGGCCCAGGGCATTGAGGCATGTCCACTTGAAGCAACCAGCAGCTGCAAGTCCAGACCATTTGTGCCCCTCACTACCTCTTCTGCCTTTTACTGCAGATTATCATGAGTAGGGCAGTAGAGGTGGCAGAGAGACATGTGTCATTGTATTTCAAATATTGCCACTCTTCTTTCATATTAGCATAGAGTCCCAGTCGTGGATGGTTTGGGGAGTGGATTGAAGCAGCTCAGTTAAGGAAATCTGCTCCCTTCTTCCAGCCTATCTGTGAGGATCTACACCCCTGGCAGAAGGGTAGAATAGTGAATTGGTGGGAAGAAGGATGTTACATGTTGCTTCTGTGTCCGAAAGTGCCTGTCAGAATCCTAAGCCTCTTCACTCATTTACAGGCCCTCATTAAAACAGCACTTAGGTTAAGATGGCTGGCTGGACACAAAACTTATGCTGGCATGCTCTGTCAGGTCAGATTCCTCCCTAATGGGAACTGACACTTAGCCTTTTCCAATTATACCACACTGCTGAGGAGCATTTATGTCTATCAGTGGAAGCCTCTTAGGCCATCTGGAACGCTATTTGATTAACACTCAGTAAACACTGGTTCATTCCTTCTCAGCTATACCCTCCAGCTCACATGTAAAAAGCTAATAAATGGCATCACAGTCACAATGTTAAGTTTAAATTTGAGATATGCCCGTGCTTGAAAGTTAAGTCTCAGGATACCAATCTGTTCTTATAAGTCTGTGGTAATAGTGGCACGAGAATTCACAATCAAAGCTTGCCGGACCTCTGCTACCTCATTTGCTATTTTACAAAATCCTCAATGATTGTGCAATTTGCATGAGTTACACAACAGAGAATTGCATTCTTCTCTCTCCAGCATATATGCAAACAACAGACAGATGAGCCAACACCACCCAAACCAGCTTTGTTTTCCCTGATCACTCTGTCCTACTCAGAACAATCCTCTACTGAATCAAGAAACATAAGGTCAAGGATATTGGTCTCAAGTTCTGAGTGTATTTCAGCCATGTATTCAAGCATTATGAATGTCCTTGCTGTCAAGGACAACATGTGTCTGGGTAAGATTTTTGCAACTAATTTTTACAAACTTGTTTTATAAACACTGCACATTCTGTGTCAGTGAACGCATACACAATTTAATATCAACTTTCTTTTGTCTGAAAGATTAAAACTGGTAAAAGTTTACATCCAAGTTTACACCCTGCCAAAGCATCTCGCCTCCAAGCACTGATTAGCTGAGAATCTGCTAATTCATTCTGTTCCTTTGTGTCTTCTATCTATAGTTACAATGTTCACGAGTGCTTCTTACTTTACAGCATTTCTCAAACTGCTAAAGCTCTTAAAGAATTTTATTTTGTAATGTTAACATACTTGATTTTCCCAGAACTGCTGCAGTCTATCTTGTTTGCTATATCTCACATTGTTAAGCGTTTCAGAATAAGATTTTAGATTCTTAACACTTCTGCTGAGCTTATAATCAAATTCTTTTAACCCAGCTGACCTACTGACAGATAAAGCCAGAAATACCAGGGTGCCGCCTTACTATAGTTGTCACATTACAGGTTTTCAGTGACATTCACATGCCCTATTTCACTGCTTGAACATACTGTGAAGAGGAACTGGCTTGTGGCAGAGCAGCAGGAAGTGAAGAGCAGGCACTTCTTGGTCTCAGTGCTATTAAACAGCAAGCTGTAGAAGCAGTGTGCTGGCAAAAAGTTGTGAGACTCAGAACTCAGTTTCTGGGTCATCTGTTCTGTGCTCAAGCATCAATGTTCCTCTGGGAGTGCCTTACCATAATCTTTCAGCTAAACTCTCCTAATATAATCCAGTATAGCACCAGTGACTTATTTTGACTTCCATCTCCTTTACCCCGAGGAAATAGAGAATTTTTTTCTCCTATTGACTGGAGGCTGGAAGAGAATTGAGTTATTGTGGTGTACTACTTTTACACCGTTTAAGAGCCAGCCACTACAGGTGTGATTACCATGTCACATTGCAAAGAAGTTAACTGCAGAAGGCATAGAATGACTGGCTCCCATGTGAAAAAAGAGCTAAACTTTCCTGATGCTCTGTTACAAGGAAAATAAATCTAACTGTGAAACCTGTGCATGAATTTTTAAAGAGCTGGTTATATAAGGAGTTTTAGTCCCAACTCACATTGTCATCTCACTTTTATCTAACTCTTAAGAAAAGACACTGCCCTGAATACATAAACCCATCTGTGCAAGTCCATTGAATTATGTACAGAAGGTAGGGGATAAAAAAAAAAAAAAAAAAAAAAAAAAAAAAACATTTTCAAAAAAAAAAAAAAAAAAAAAAAAAAAAGGTGACTGTGTGACTGTTTTCCCATCATTGAAAGGCATTCAAGCTGTTGGGATGTTGTGTAAAGCTTCAGTTAATTTACTGTACCTTGCCCTCCTGGATGGTGACAACATCGGGCAAACCTCCAAGTACTCGTGCACGATCTGAAAATAAAGAAGATTAATTTTTTTTAGTGTCTCAAAATCAACTGTGTGCTGGATTCTGTTTCTCTTCTAGCTCTTTCCTTTTGTCTTATTTATGTACAACTTGTCTCTGATATCTGAGCTAGCAGAGAACTAGCCAGCAATTTTAGCACACCATTTGGACTTTAAAATATGTTGAATTCACAGCAGAAGATGTGTTAATAGTTGGTGTCAATCACTTATAGAGAGGAATTAAAGTACACGTGCAGCGTCCTGCAGACTTTGACATCAATTCGGTTTTAATTCTGAGTGCACAAAAAGGATTTACATTTTTGAGATCTGATACTCAAAATTTTTACTGCAGTAAACTAAAAACACTGGGTGTCCAAAGGAAAATGAATGACACCTGGTAAAATGCTGGAGATTGGCTTTTAATTTAGATACAAAGACGTCAGTCTCAGTGGCAACAATGAAGTTCCATCACTTGTGTGAATCTGTGTGCAAATGAGACTGATACCCGATTGATGTAGTTTTAAACTCGAGAGTCCCATAGAAATCCTAGGCAAATACAAACAAGCCAGTCGCATGCAGGCTTTAGGGCCCTTATCCTGGAATACGGATTTGGTTCGTTACAGGTCTGGGTGGAGCCTGGCAGAGGAAGGAAATGACTGTACAGAATGTTCCCCTCTGCTTTGCTCTGTAAAAGATGTGCTCTGGAGCAGGGAGATAACAGCCTTAGGAGCCCAGGAAAGGGCTGTGTTGTCACAGTTGGCATGACAGCTCCTCAGGGATAGTCCGGGTCAGAAATTAAAGGTCAGGGCAATCGCCGACCCCTCTGCGCTGTCTCAGCCAGGACTTGTGGGGGTTCCTGTTCGTATCCAAGCCCTGCTCTATCTCTCTATGCATTTTTCTCAAATAACTTTTCAAATGCCAGTCCTGCCCTCATTTTTACGCAGGTCTGAAAGTCATTTGAAATGAATTTGAACAGTTCATTTTTCCATGGCTTCTTCTGTAAGTAGGGAGGATAAAGAGTTTAATAATTCAAGTTGAAGTCTAATAACTTACTCCTCAAGTACTTAATACATACTTCTGCTTTAGTTGCTCTGCTGTAATTGACATACAGGCAAAAGTGTGAGGAGATTCTAAGCAATTAAAAAGCTACTGTTGCTTTCTTACCCATTTCTGTAAGTAATGCAGAGCCATTTGACATTTTAGAGCATTCAAAACTAGTCAAATTATTTTCTCGATCCTTGAAAACAAAGAGACTTTTGTGCAGAGAACATTAATGAGGGATCCCAGCAATAAAGTTTATTTTTAGAGAAGGCTAACTAATACTGAGAACAGGAGCTTAGATAAGAAAAATCAACCTAACCCATAAGGATAATAAGATTAGCTGCAAAGTGGACCAATGTTAAATCAACCAAGGGTCATTTCTCCTAGGTGTGAGGACAAATTTGGTTTAGGATGAGCACATGCATATAAACATGCCCACATGCCCTCTCTTTCCCAACACACAACCTTCCTGGAGAGGAAGAAAAGCTTAATAAACAGTTTCTTGTAACCATTGTCAAAGAAGGCCTACTTACTTTTCTCTGCAATCGCAGCTTGCCTGGAGTTGAAAATAAAAAAGGGAAAGTCCAATTTCAGTTAAGGTTTACTTAGAGTCATTGAGAAATAGATTATCTTTTAAACTGCTTTTAATCCATTAAGGAAAAGCTCTCTCATTGCTTGGCAAAACAGCTTTTTCTTTGCTACCTGACTGTTATATAAGAGTTGCACCGCAGAAGTCACATGCAAAACTCCTACGGGCTTCTGTATGACTAGGACTGTTTCATAAGATATAGTTATCTCCAGCACAAAACAAATAAATACTGTTATTATTTTATGCCTGCCATTTCTGTATTTAGATGGCATAATACTTACTTTAGTCTCTCAAACTCAGCAAAGGCTTCATCAAAGGCTTTGGAAAGAAGAAAAAAGTATGTTTAGAGATAAAACACCACACAAGTTTAAATTTAAAGTGAATAAATAAATTTAAAATGTAGATGTAATACATTTAAAATGTAAAATTTAAAATGCATGCATGTGTACTGTACAAACACAAAAATGCTGAATGGTTTGACTGATAAAGGCCATCTGGTATATGGCAGCTGTTATATATACACATAAAGGCATAAACACACTTTTTTCTTCCAGATGTCAGGCTTTAAGACAGAGGACAAGAAAGTAGTAGGCTGAAGTAATTTCACAAAAAAGTGGAAGAAATCCACAATGCATCACCTAAATGAGGGATTATGGCAGTGACCTTCCAAACTTTTTATATTATACATCTCTATATAAAATGATCTGAGCATTTTCTCCCTGTATGTATATATATTTATAGATTATGTAGATGTATACAAGTGAAGTTCTTGTATATTCTTCCTGCCACCCCAGTGAAGCACAATGGGTCATCTTGCACACACCCACTTCAGAGACCACTGGTTTATGGAATACAAGAGATATGATTTTCCAAGGATTGTTCACATCTACTTGAAGCATCACAGTGATGGCTACAAGCAAAGTGAACAACAAATTGTTGTCTCCTTTGTAAATTCAGGCTAAGCTGCCATCATGGGGGAGGTCAACCTCTCCTGTTTTGAAAGGGAAGAAGAAATAACTTTCCCTAGAAAGTGGAGATAAAGTACCAAAGCAGCAGCATGGAGACTATTACAATGTTATCACCCTTACACAGAGCTTGCAAACAAAAAGTGAAGCTTTAGGGATGAGAAGAGCAGGGAATGGAAAGAGCAGTTTGGAAGGAGTTAATCTGTTCTCTAGGATCTGAGAAGTCTCTCAAAGTAAAAGCTTCCAACAGTTAATGCAAATTGTTCCCCTCGTCCTTCCTCATGTTGATGAGAGGTCTTGGCATCTCTGAAGAATAAGGAGTTTTATTACACCCATCAAAGAAATATGGTAGGAGAGTATCAGAACAAACTCATCCCTCCCTTCCTCCTTCAAATATTCCTTGGAAGAGAGACACACAGAAGGAAGAGAGACACACAGTGCTACAACTCACATTCAAAACTGCCAATCAATGTCAGCAACACAAGGGGTTTTGTAAAATAGCTCAGAAACTGGGCTGGCATCTTAGTAGGCAGACTGTAGATGGGTATTTAGAATAGGAAAAAGATGTTTGTATTTTATTACTTGAGAGCACAGGCTGGGGAAAACAAATGACATGGTTTGGGGATAACAAATCACAGAATCACAGGGTAAACTGGGTTGGAAGGAACCCACAAAGATCATCAAATTCAGCTCTTGATCCTGCACAGTGCCATCCCCAAGAGTTACATTGTGTGCCAGAGAGTATTGTCCAAAAATGCTTCTTAACTCTGTCAGGCTTGTTGGCACAGTCCCTACAAAGAATGCCAGACTGGTGGGTGCACACACAGACCCCAAAGGGTGACAGGTCTGTGGCAGGATCCTGCTGTGGATGCTCCCATGCTGCCACAGCACACTGCCCACACAATGATGATGTTAGCAGAGGGAATGGCCTACCTTGTCCAGAAAGATCCACTGTCTTTTTGTGTGTTGTGTTGCCATCAAAGAGTTCCATTATGTATCTGCCTTTGTCCTGTGGAGTTGGCTCATTGATCTGCAACCAGATCTGCTCCCCAGTGACACCAGTCTTCATCCGGTCTGTGAACTTAATCTGGGTATCGCTGAAAAGTACAAAACAATGCTACCTTTTGGTTTTACTGGAGTATAAAAAGGGTTTGCTCATGTTGAGTCTCTGAGAACATCTGGAGTTAATAAATTATTTCCAAGATGCTATGGTATGACACCATATTCTGAAACCTTTGAAGTCAAACTCTTGCTGGAGTTGTGAGCCAGCTGGGCAGAATTGGTGTAACAGCCTTTCCCTGTTCAAGATCCAGCTATCATCAGAAAATGCAGAAAAATAATGCATCTCAGTCTGTGACCTGAGCCATAGAAAAGTTGTACAAGATCTGAAAAGCCAGATCTCTGAGGGATAGCCCAGGCATCCATATAATTACTCTTCTCTTTTTAACATATTTACTGTTGTCTTTTTAGCATAGGTTTATTTCTGGTTGGGCAAAACAAAACTATATGGGGCTGTATCTACAAAAAAAAACCCACTTTTGTCAAAAATGGTGTTTGCCCAGTTGGAATGATTTCTGATGCTCTGCTATGTTTGGAATTTAAACACACTCTGACATAAGCATATCTTCTTTCATTAAAAAAACAGAAAACAAAACAAAAAAAACCAAAAACCCAACACCCCCCTCCCTCACCCCCCAAAATCAATTTCTTAGCTTCCTAGCTAAGCAGTTAATTTCCCTGGATAAAGCAAAAGATATTTGTCAAATAAGCTGCTCATTTTCTTGTTATCTTTAAACTGATAACTTTGAATGCACTGGAGAGAAAAAATAAATTTTTTCTAGATTAATTTTACATGATTCAAGATGAAACAAGTTTCTAAAAATGAAATGGAGAAAAGAAAGAGAGAGGGAAGAAAACCCCCCCAGAATGCTTCATATTCTCTTGCACTTATTTGAAATACTTGGGACTTTGGATGATACCAGGTGAAAAGGAGTGCCAAGAAACAAGAGGGCCTCAAATGTCTTTCATTTCTCTGACAGAATGCTGGTTAACATCAGTGTCAATAATTACAGCAAGCCTGGTACAGCACATCCTGGGTATTCTGTGCCTCATTTACAAGAGTGTTATTGAGAGATCAGAAATTCAGGTTCCATCATACAGACTAACTACTACCATGTCCACAGGAAGTGAAACAGCAAGAACAGTAATAATGGATTTGAAGTGATCTAAGTTGTTTACTTCTCTTGTTAGCTTCTCTGGGTTTTCCAGTGCAAGCTATTTGTGCTGGCTGATAACTCAAAGGTGTCTCATAGATTTGGATGTGCTACTGCCATTAATTTTATGGAGAGCTGGGCATTCAAATTATTTTTTAAAATCTCAGTTCTTCTGTCTGTCTTGGTTACATTTGTAGTGCTTGCAGGAGGGGTTGTCTGGATTTTACTGCCCCAAACACATGCTGGAATTTGCTTTGCCTCCTAAAAATGAAGCCATGCATTAAGAGGATATGCCTGCTTGTCCCAGTTCCACTGAAATGTGGCTTCTAGACATGCAGACCTCCAGGGCAGATATCTGTGAAGCACCTCCAGGTGCTGGCCTCTTTTGAAGCCTGACAGTCACTTGGGTTTTATTTGCATCACTCCTTAAAACTGAGTCAGGGAAAGATGCAGCTCCCACTGGGGAGGTGGGAAGTGCTCTGAAGCAGCAGGATCCTGCTGGCATCCTGTGGCATGGGACTGTCTTTCATGAGAGAAACAACAGGAGGCCTGGAACCACCACACCTGACTCTCATACTGATTTCCTGTGAAAGTAATTGACTGAAAAAAGCTCGTATGATATAAGGACTCATGAGAGTGGAGGGAAAACCTGGGCCTCATCTCTCTTCAGGTTGATTCTGAATCTATGAAACCAAAATTGCACTGGGTTTTGCAAAGCTCTCGTGTACTTACTTGTGCACCCAGCCTACTCTCAAATCTTCTACATAATAAGTAACATAGGAGTACAGTCTGATACCCTCAGCTGTGCTCTGGATTTTCAGGTCTGTTGCAGATAAAGCTGAAAGAAGAGCACATGGTTTTATGCAGCCATACAGCCATTCATTGAGTGCCACAATGAGTCATTCTTTCAAAAAAATAATTAAGTGCTTACCAATCTTTCTGCATACTTCATTCATCAGATCTGCAAAGGCTGTGGAAATAAAATCCAGAGACTAAGACTCTGTGTCTGCAGTCCAAGCACAGTCAACAACAGGACAAGTATTTTAGAAAATATTTTAGAAAATATTCTCCCCAGAAGGTCTGAAAAACCAGTCTTTGAAAAAGCTACCTTTTCAAGCATATTAGAAATCTGAGTAATGCAGAAATGTGGCCTGTTATTTTACAGTTTCCAGACCTTATTTAAGTGCAGTCTTGATGAATACTGCTGCAGCTTAACAAGAGGATTTTTTTTGTAAATGACAGTTAACAAGAGGATTTTTTTTTTTTTGTAAATGACACTGTTCAGCTGGAATGCTAGCCCATTTATATACATTCTAATGGATAGGAGTGGAATGTTAAGAACATAGTAATCACAGTAAGTGGAAAGGCCTCTAAGTAATTGACAAAATATACTAAAAATATTTTTAAATTATCTGGTTCTGCAATGTTTTTTCTATACTTGCAAGCTTTGATGGCCCCCTGAGGAAATCTCTTATCATTTTGCTTAGTGGTAATCACTGTATGCTCCCAAGATTATACAGAATCCAGATGCAATAAGTGGTATTCAAATGTTATTTGAACTGAAAAATCTCAGTTTTTCTAATCAGATAATGTTGTATACATGAGGAACAAAGCCACAAGAAGACAACATGTGGAGATACCTGTATTACCCCAAACCCACTTCAGTCCTGGTATCTGACCACAGCCAGACTCTGACCTGTATCCTTGAGCTTTAGCTCACTGGAGTCCTTTCCTCTGTCATCCTTCAGTATGACTTCATATGTGCCAGCATCTTTCTTAGAAAACTGCAATATTGTAATGATAAAACCAGTTTTCAGAACAGGTACTGTAGAAAAATCTAGATTTTACTTGTGAACCCAGCTGATATCCCGTCCCTGTCCCCAGGCAGGTACCTGATGCCTGAGGCTGCCCCTGTGCCCCCTAGCTGCCCCACCCATGGCTGGGGTGGTGGGATGGGCTTTGGCAGGAGGTCCTGGTATGCAGGGGACCCTGTCCTACCCCAAATCTGCTGCAAGGCTGGGTATGAACCCGACACCTCTGGTGATCCCTGAGTGACAAGCACTTTCCAAATGCTATTCAGAATGGAAATGTGGTCTCAATCTGTTGCTAAATTGACATGCAAAGGAAGTGACAAGCTTATTATCTCTTCTGTCATCATTTCCTGAAAATCTGAACAAGCAGTTACAGACAGACATTTGCTTTAGTGAAAACACAGACGCCTTGTGAGCGTTTCCATTTTTAAAACTCACTTCCTTTTTCAATTGTTCTGCTGGAGTACCAGATTAGATCATATAACTCATCTGAACACTAATTTCAACTGAAGGCTAATGAAAACAGTCACTCACCTCTGAAATCAGCAGAGTACACACGCCATCCTTAAAGTCGTGTTCTTCATCTACCATTATCTCCCTGTCATCTTTGTACCACACAATATGTGTTTCTTTCTTAATATTAGCCACCTAAAATGGATGAAAACCACATTGCAATTATTCACTTCATTTGAGCAGGGGAGCTCGGTGTTTTAATTTGGGTTAGCTTGTTCCAGGGGTTAGCATGTTCAAGTCTCTCACAGAAGAACAGCAAGCTTTACAACCTGTAACTGCAGTGAGTTACTGCAGGCCTCCGTTTTAAAATGAGGGAGGCAAGAGGGAAAACAGCAGGGATGCAAACAGAGAGAAAAGGAGACAAAGGAATGAGTTGGTCCTGCCCATGGAATTTCTACATGCACAAACAGGCCAAGAATGAATTAGTCCCTGAATTTACAAAGACTTGTATTCCTTTTCAGGTGCCTTTCTCTGAGTGGGTGGCTGATAGACCTGAAGAAAGAAATTCAAGCTATTTTCCAACATATTTTATTACATGAAATGAGTTGCTGCCTCAGCAGGATTAACCTTCAGAGGCTCTGTCACTGTCCAACATGCAGCTGGGAGTGCAAAAGCAAAGGGCATGTCTTTAGTCCCTTTCCAACCATCTAGGTAGTGGTAGGCCAGTGTAGTGTACTCTGAATATTGTACTCAGGGTTTTCATTGCCCCTTACCTTACATTTCAACATCACATTACACTCATCAGTAACTTCCCATCCCAGTTTATCCACAAAATGAGGACCTGTTAGAAATTACAAGTATATTTTTAAAGGTCACATCAATGGTATTCATGATGCAAAATGAAAGACAGATGTGTTTTACTTGACAAGAATACTGTTCTATTTTAATGTGGTTTTATTTTAATGTGGTTTTATTTTTCCTATTTCTGCTTCAGAAGTAACCACGTAACATAACAAAACCCATGTATTTCAAATTAACATATATAACTATAGACAAACTCTTAACAGACACATATGTGATAGTTATAAGTATTCATATTATCACCTTGTTTCCTGTGCCACTCTTTTCTCTGGAAATCTGCTTCATCCTGTAGCTTCTTGAATACTAGGAATTAAAACCAGTAAGAAATACAAGGTTAAACTTATGTGCCATTGGTACAATGCTGCATGCCACTGTAACAGTTGGGTCTAACTCTATCCCTTGGATGTCACTGAGAAGCAGGCCATAGGATCAGGTTTTCACTGGACATTCCCAGTGTCAGAAGCTGATTACAGCTAACTCAACTTTCCTAGCTGCTTGCAGTCAGCAGGAGTTTTATGTGTCCTGCCTGATGATGTGCAACCCCCAGTCATGCAGCTCCTGGTAGGAAGGCAAATGGAGGCAGCAGAGTCAGCAGCTGCTTGAGCTCTAACAGGTGCAGCTACTTGTTCCCAGCTGAATGGGCTTTTTATATGGGAAATTTTCATTTCACCCATAGGAAAGCAAATCATGACATGCTGCAGTATTTCACATTTCTGTAACAATTCCCCTTCCTCCCATCACTTTAAAAATTTCAGTTCACACACATGCCCTGTCCTGTTGGAGGCAGGCAAAACTGTGACATAAAAAAACTGGAACGTCTATTGGTGTTGAAAACAGTGAAAAGCCAGCCCACTGCATAATACAGATTAGCCTACCATCACCAATGAGGACAAGACTAGATTGATTGGTTGCTTTTCCATCCTGCAGCTGGAACGTGTAAGTGCCTTCATCCTTTTCCTCAAGTTTATCCATAATCATTTCAACAAGGCCGGTATTGTGGTCCACCTTCATTTTATATTTCTGTGGGAGTGGAAAGTAAAGCAACAATTAATACATGTCAGAGACAGAAAATATTTGTGAAGTGTTATAATGATCTCTTTAGGAGAATTTTTTTTTTTGGATTCCCACTTCTTCAGGTTCCCATTTGTTCATATCCCTATCCTATTCTAGACTCACTATCTCTACCTCCAGCTCCAAATGTACAACCAAATAGATAAATAAATCTGTTTATTTCCTAATGCTGTACAACCACATCATGCCTGTTGCACAGTGAGTACTATGCTCTTTTTCATTAGAAAGGTTTAGATTAACCTATTCAGAATAATGTTTCCTTTGGAGGTGATTATACTGTACAAGGTCATGTCTAGAATGCCCCATCTCTGCCTTCTATCTGATATTGGTGTTGCAACAAAATCATGCCAAGTCCCGTCTTTGGGGTGTTAACAAGTTCTGCAGCTGGAAACAACCACTTGGGAATTTTTCTGTGATGTAATAAATTCCTTCAAACCACAAAGAGAGATGAGAACAAGGGTATTCCAGGGCTATAGATGAAGGAGGTAGGAGGAGTCTGAGCAGTTGCAGTGATTCCTTGAAACCACAGATAATAGAACACGTGGTATTCACAAAATTCAGGAAGGCATATAACTTCCCTTTATAAAAAGCATCCAGTAGAATTCATCTGGACCTCAGAACTATGGATAAAATCTTTCTAATAATGCTTTCCATGACATATTATATTTCTCATGAAAATTCATCAGAGTGGAACACTAGTTGGAAGCATACTGAAGATAGAGACACTAATCCTCATTGATACTCATGAAAATGCAAACATGTAAGCAGTGAAAAGCCTTACCTCTCCATTGAAAATCTCCTTATCATTAAATACAAAATTGGCCTTTGCATTGCCAGACAGTTTTTCAGCTTGCAGCCAGAATCTCACTTCTCCTTTTTCCAAGATTTCCACAGCCAACTCAGATATAAGTGGGACAGCTACAAAGAAGAAAGAAAGGAATGATGCCTATTTTGCCTGTGCCCCAACAACTATTGTCTGCAACAACAAGAAAGCCACTTAATCCTTCCATACTCGAATACTGTATGCAAGGTAACTAGCTCATAACAACTCTTCACACAGACAGAATGACTCTCCACCCACATATACATAGAATGACAGACAAGATTTAGTCCTTTGATCCTTCAATCACAAGGCCAAACTAAAAGTGTTCAAGGTTTGAGTTATGCTCCATTCTAAAACAAGGCTATTTCAAATGCAAGCTGCAAGTATCTGTACAGCATTATGTGAGTCTGTAGGCTGCAGACCCATGTTTAATTAGTTGTCTAATAATATTACTGTAAGACAGTGAACTGACTCAGAGGGGAAAAAACAAAACAAATCACAAAAGATCTCCAAGCACAAAGCCAGATCAGAAAGTCAGCTGCTGAGCTGTAGGTTGGGAGATTTTTGAAAACCCTCTGATCCTCTTCTGAGTGGAACCCCCATCTCCAGAATTCACCAAATATTCCAACACATCCTGTCTCCCCTGTACATTTTGTTTTCTTACAAGAAACCAAAACTCCCACATATAAACCAATTCAGTGTGTCAACAGGGGAAAAAATATGCAAAAGCCACATACTATACCATAGATAACTCTTTTTTACTTAGCTAGTTCCTGTTAGTAACAGTCCTCAGCTTGCTTTCACTTTAAGTTTTCTTTAAGACATAGCAACATTAAGCACAAAGAGTTGGACTCTGACATTGGGGCATATTGCTCATCTCACTGACTTCCCTCATGTTATCTGTCCTGATGGATGTGCATATTCTCAGTCAAAATCATACTCTCAGCAGTACGTGTGCTGCTGTGTGTGAACTCTCCCCCAGGCTCTACTTTCTCAGTAGTGCAAAGTCTGTGTGCCAGGGTGTAGCATGGAAGAGCTGAGGGCAGTGCACAAACAACATGTTGCAAAGCACATGATGATGTAGTCATGGTGTGTGTAAAGACACACCTCCCAGGGCAGGCTGGTTCCTTTAGCTCAATGTATGCAGAGGCTCAGCAGGACATGACTGGGACAAAAGTAGTGTCTGATTTCTCTCATCCTGCTATTTGCACTGCTCTAAATGACTGGGGTGCCTTCTGGAGCACAGCTGCCACCCCACCCCACTGCCAAACAAGCTTAGGGGGTGAGGATGCCTCAGCTCTTCCTTTGCCACACTCAGTCCTTGTCCCTCTCACATCCCACAGCCACATGTGTGCTTTTAGTGCCTGAGTGGCACAGGGTCTGCCTCTGATAAAACAAAACTCCTGGAAAGTGAGGCAACAGTCTCAGGGGAACAAAGACAATTAGGATGAAGGCACATGCTTAACCAGAGAAGGAAAAGCCTGGAGCCTGGGAAGGGCAACATTGCCATGAGGGAGTGAGGCAAAGACAACCCCATGGAAGTGTGTCCCTGCTGTGCAAATGGTCCATGTGAGCTTTCCTCACCCAGCACACCACTGTGTGTGTAAGAAACAGAAGGAATCTCAGGGCTTGCATAATTTCTTAAAACAAAGCAACTGAAATGCTACAGGAAGCAAGTGGGAGTGTGAATAGACATCAGGCTGCACTGCTTTTGTCTCACTGTCAGCTCTACAGAAATTTTAAACCACCACTTGACTTGCCTGTTATTAACTAAGAATATCTTAGTCTAACATGGAAAAGAGAAAAGTATCTCAGCAGCTGTTAAAGAAATGGCTGAAAGGATGCAAAAGCATTCTTTTTTGGAGAAAAGTCTGATAATTTCTCAGCCTAAAGCAACTGGACAAATTTGCCTTAAAATCTGTCACAAGCAGAAGTCTTATTTAAAATATTTCCATAAGCACCGATAGCTATTTTAGGCATTTTCCAGTGGTTTTACATCGTATTTATACAGCACCACAATTTACTGGCAGCACTTGACAGGCAGTCCTTAAGCAGTTGCTAAATTGAGGACTTGGAAGAGTTTCTCTTTACCTTGTACCAACACATTGTCTTACCCATACATGGCTGTGTTCTGTAAGGCTCTTATTCAAGCAACTCCATTTCCCATGGAGTTATACTGGCTGCTGTTATTCTGTTTCTAAGCAGAAGTTCCATTAATTTCTGCTCAGAAGTACAAACAGCTGAATCGCAACACCTAGCTGTAATATATATTTTTCTTGAAGTGTACACAAGGACCCAGAGTGTCCAAAGCATATAAGATGGCTTCCTCCTTAAGGATACTTTCTGCAGTGATCTCCCTTGTCTGCCTGTGCCTTCTGGAAGCTGATGCACAGCTGTGTCTGTGCTGTTACCTGATACAGTGCAAAAAACTTGATATGATCTATGTCCTGAGGAGCTTATTTTGTGACATTGGTAGCGAACAAACAGCATGGAAGGGTCCTCAGAAGGGAAGGGTCAGGGCAAGTAAGGTCATGCGACAGCAGCAAGGTTTTGTGATGACAGATTTTTAGTGTGAAAATATAATTAGAAGATAGCTGGGAGGAGCAGGAGTGAACAAGGGTTTGTTAGGGCTGTCATTAAGCTATCAAAAGGTGATTCAGTATGTTGAGAAGAGTAGAGCCATTGAGAAAAAGATGAAGAAAGAAATGAGAGAGATTATGTAGGCAAAAAGGCCATTTCTGTAGCCAAGGATTGGCTGGGCTGAGAGGTGCAATGTGGGCTGAGTTGGAAGAGGTGCCAGCAGTGCATGCACTAAGCTGAAGATTTTAAAATGCAGGCAAGAATTTTAGTACCTGGAATGAAAAAGAAGAGACTAAAGTAGGATAACATGGGACCACATTTAGGTCTTATCTTGTTGTGTGCATAAAGATTAATTATGTAATCCAATATTATTTTCCCCCCATTTTTTCAAGTAACATTCCAATAAAAATAACCAAATTGTACTATTACCAGGGTATAATAAATGTCTGTGGAATTGACAAAAATACCATACCAAGAGTAGAAAGCATGTTCAAGTTTTGTCAAATGTTCCAGGAAAGAGGGAGAGAATGAATTTCAGCAGGAAAATTCTGTACACATAGATCATTACAGCTGAATTTACTACACTTGCCAAATTTGTTAACCTTAAATTTAACTCATGTTAAATATAGTTGGAGTAAAATTGGAGAATCTTTCAAATTCTGGTTTTCAAATCAGGTCAAGTGTGCTAGGTGAGTTTTAAAGCCTGTTCTGCAGAAGAAGCAAAGCCAATATGATACTTATTTTCCAGCTCTAATACAGACTTATTATATAGACCAGTAGCCTGAAACCTGGGAAGAGCACCAATAATATACAAATGTACTGAAAAAGGGAGAGAAAAAAGATTATCTTAAATTTTTCAATTCCAATCAACTTTCACTTGAAATTACTATAGTGACCTCCTTACCTGATGGTGGCAGGAGCTTTGTGACCATAGACTCATAGAATGGTTTGGGTTGGAAGGGGCCTCCAAAGGTCAGCTAATCCAAGCTCCCTGCTATGAGCAGGGACATATTCAACGAGATCAGGCTTGTGCTACCCCACTGCATGCAAAGCTCTTCCCTACAGATATGATTGATACACTTACTTGGGAATTGGCGTTCATGGCTCAGAGCAAGCAGGCGTTTCATTTCTGCAAAAGACATAGAAGAAGTAATATGAGGTGTGTGCATGCCTTTTGTATCTGAGAGACACAGGACCAGAGAAAAACAGATGTGAAAGCAAACTAGGCATGCTTAGTAGGCATTGTGTCTACCTTCTTCATCAATTGTGTAGCTTGATGAAACTCCATCAGTGTCTGTAACAATACAAGAGTAAATTCCCAAATCATCTTCTCCAAGATCCTTAAAGGAAAGTTTTGACCTATAAGGGAAAAAAACCCATTATGATGAAAAGGTGAAATCCATTGGAACCAAACTCCTCCTTTCTGTCTATATTACCAGGTATGAATAGCCTTGTGTTAGCTTTTGCTCTGACTGATCAGACAAATGTTTGGCTCTGTCAGCTATAAATCAGAGTAAGTCCTACCATGTGTGGTACAAATGGTGATGGCACCAAAGGAAAAAAAGGCTTGTTGTCAAGGCTTTGATGACCCTGGAAGGATACTGTAGATACAGGTCAATTCAGATTCCATGTGGCAGCACCATGACTGTGGTGGGCCCCTGTTTCTTTCAGTATGGCTACTGGCACTAGGAGAGCCCATAGGCCCTTCATGGGCTGAACCTGTGCATTCACTCTGTCTTCCTCTGGGAAAAGCCTGAAGAAACAGAGTAGGCTTGGAGACATTATATAAGTTACTAAATCAGGCCATGGCGATGCCATCATAAGAAATCCTTGCTTACAACAGCAGTTCCAAAGAATACAGCTCCATTACAGGGCAAAAGCATTTTTTAAGAAGCCAGATAATTTTATTATTTGGAGATATAAAGTAATAGGAAAAGGAATAATCATCATCATCATCATCATTATCATCATCATCATCTTCATCTGCCTTGACTGACAGGTTATAAGGTGACAGGGCACAGATTTTCTCTCCCCATGCCTAAACATCACTAGAGTGCCTGCAGGGGAGCTCTGACTAATTCTGTACAAGCTACAATTTCCAAGTGGTCTGGGTATGGATTTACTGGAGAACAGCATTCTCAGGAAGTAACCATCAAGTAGCAGAGACAGTTTTAGCTCATCCTGAGGTCATACATTAAAAAGGATGGATTTCTGTGACAGTCTAGATCTTTCAAATACAAAATTATTGCTACCCTTGAGGGTCTTACTTTCCGCCTTTGGTATCCATGTTCAGTCGAGGGTCATCCTCAATTGGTTCATAATTCTTGGACCAAATGAACTTAGAGTCTGGAGACATCTGATCACATTCAAAGTTCAAGGAAATTACTCCATTGTCATCTACATCAACCACCACTTCCTTGGTTCCTTAAAGAGCAGAACAAGGCAATTCCAGTTTCTCAGAGAATTCAGCAAACAAATTTCTATAGATATCATTCAGAGAGTGGATTAAGCAGATCCTTGCCATTTTCTCAGCTGGAACATAAATTGCTGCACCCATCGATATCTCTGGTCTTTGATTTACAAGAACAGTTCTTTTTCTAATCCACAGGTTAAAACACATAATAAATCAACTGATTTACACTCGTGAATCGAAGCATACACGAGAGTTGAAATATTTCCTATGAAAAAGCCTGAAGGGGGTAAAAAAAGCAAGACTCTAAATCCACTAAATGTATAAGCTATTAAATAGCAATATTTTCCATGGTAAGCAGTAGTTAGAGATTTCATTATACAGCATAGATTTCCTATTCTCTAATAGGGTAAGTACTATACAGGGAATAGCATGCAAATGTGATCATTTGAAGAGTTGAAGAAGAAGAAGCAGTCAAGTTGCCCCAGCAGCAACAATGTGACTGAGGCACATTTTTGGTGACACTGGCTTCGCTCAGGGAGGTTGGTTTAATTGCTGTGCTTGGCATCCAGCCCTGCTGCCGTCTGCACCATTAATCCTGGGCCCACAAAGGGAGTGAATATTTGCAATTAGCTGCTTAAGTCACCCACCCAGTCTTGCCAATGCCTTCAGTCATTGAGCTGGATAGGGTGACCCAGTTTCTCCTTTTGAAGGCCTTGGGGGTGAATCCTGGGTCAGCAACCTGAAGGCACCTCTATTCTGCTCCCTCACACCCCAGTGGAGCTGAGGGAATTTCATCTGGGATTTGGACAACCCAGTGATCTTGTCATCTGTGGCATTAATGTTCATTTCAACAACTTGTCTGAGAATGTCAGAGAGAGCATGTGCACTGAGAGGGGCTGGAGAACATCCAGCTTTCTTTTCTGAATAGCTCTGAGCTGGATCTCGCATCTGAATAGGGCACTCATGTCCCATTACTTGGGCTAAGACAATTCTAGACTGCCCAGAATACTAATGACACACTTTCTCCACAAAGTATTGTACTTCAAAGACAAGAGCCTTATTCCTGACACTGAAATGGAATGCTTTATTTTCAGCATAATTCTTAGTGACCCTCAAGCATAGTAGGAGATTTCTGTGTTTCATTGTCCTAAAACTATACACGCCTTTTCCAGCACTGCGAGCAGCTTCTGTCATGACAATCTGTGTACACACAGCTTTCTTAATCTTCACACTTTGCCATAAGCATTTAATGAAAGATGAGATTAATATTCCCATTTTGGTACTGTTATGTACCAGCCTTTGCAGTAGTGAAGCACATTAAGTACCAATATGTGATAAATGAATTCTGAGACCTACAAATATTTTACTAGGCAGCAGTATATTTGCAAAGTTTTGTTATAATTTAATTTATTATATGCAAAATTCATCACTTGAATTTTCCTTAGTGTTTAGTTTCTTCTAAGTCATTAGCCATTAGCCCATGAATCTTTTGATGGCACTTTATGTGACATGGAAAGAATTACAGCCGTAAAGGTAATTTGAACAATAGAGTCTTTTACATTTGCATCAAAGCATTCTCATTATGGTAACAATGTATAGCATTTATTTCCAGAAGTGATGATGGAATTTACCTCTAATATTTATATGA